ATTGGTTGAATACCCCTTATAGTTGGTATTTGCATTGGTGGTTTGTGGACGAAAACTTGACTGTCCATAGAATTGACCACTTGAATTTTGTTGGCGAAATATTTGTGCGGACCCAGTGTTTGAGGCTTGTGTAAGGCAATGTATCTGTGGATGGTTACTACCACATCGAATACAACTGTGTTTATACATGCATGGGAATTTGTCACAAGATCCCTTGTAATTGAAATTGAAGCATTTATCATTATTGGTTTTGGGTGCATTTGTTACGTTATAAGCGGGCCCAGAATGCATATACATCAACCATAATTCCGAGTCAATTTCACCCCAAGAAGACACAGGATTTTGCTCTTTGCGCAGCCTAAACTGCGTATCATATTCTTTCCAAGATATAGCCCCCCTGCTAACACCCATTCTTACGGTCTGTATGTACTTAAGTAGGTCAAGAGTCTTGGCGGGATGTGCACTCAAGTACACACTTGCAAATATGAGCATAAGGTCAGTCCATTGCTCAATATTTTCTACCTTTTTTGTAAATTATCTCACCCATACTATTCATAACTAATTTCTTTTCATCAGACCCTGATTTTGGTGTTACCAATGTGGCCAAATCAATATACTGCCCACTAATAATACGTTGTTTGACTGTGCTAGAAACATTCATACCAATCATATGTATTGATGGGACAGGAGCAGGGGTGGTACCAACATCTGTTGGAGTTGAGATTGTTGCTCCAGAGGTGGTCGGTGCAAAGGATGGCCCTGCACTTGTCAACATGGGTTGCGCTTCCGCCACAACGGAAGTTGATGGAGCCTGGGTCGGTGGTATTGGTACATGTACTGGACATCCTGCCGACGCCGTCGACGAGTACGTCTGGGAATTCACAGACACCGTAGCCTGACTACCACTTGGCTGCTGTGTGGCAGTCGCTGCTGGTTGAGCCATTCTACGCTTCTTAGCTCTCGGTGGCATCGTGTTCAGAAAAGAAAAGAAAATTCTTTATTTATATATATATATATATTATTTTTTATATTTGTAAGAAGAAATTTAAATTAATTATCTCCTCATTCTCACATGCTTTATTATTTCTTTTTATAAAGTTAGCCTAATTTTTTATTTATTTATTTATTTATTTATTTATTATTATTATTTTTTTATTATTATTATTATTATTATTTTTATTTATTTATTTTATTTTATTTTTTTTTTTTTTTTTTTTTTATCTCCCCTTGGTATGGAAATCTGAAACGTGTCGGATCAAGCAAAAGCAATATGATATAAATCCTAACGATCAAGATAATTGACTTAATAATCATTATATCTTATCACATACTTACATCATATAATCTGTTTTAATGAAAACTTATATAGATACAACGTGGTCGGCTAATACAAAATGGCCACAACAGACGCTAGAAAAAATTATCATTATAAAATCAAGGATCATCGGGAAATCATGAAAAAATACTCCTAAATTGATTGCAGCAAACAACTACCAAATAGATAACAAAAACATCCATATGTATTATACCCATTAACTATTTTTCTAAATATCTAAATTTGCAAAAAATTATCCTTTAAAATTGCACCAACCTCATTCATATAGTCTGTGAATGAAAAAGGATTAACGGAAGTTGACTCAGGGGGAATAACTCTAATTGATTATAGGGATTATAGGCGGATCTATGGATTTTGTAATATGGGAAATTAACACTTTCTTCGATAAAAGCCTCCAATTCGAATAGAATTGGATGTGATAAAAATTTTACTTTATTTTCATCAGAATTATCAACCTTTACTTTTACTACTTATGTAGAAATACTTTCTACACAAACAAATCTCGCCAAATGGCATCACCACAAATGTGGTTGGATACAAATCCATACATTCATTTTATGATATAATTTATCAAAAAGTTCAAATTCCAATCAAATTTTACTTTATTTTCATCAGAATTATCAACTTTTCCTGTACTCTATATGTAGAAATACTTTCTACTTTAACCAACTCGCCAAATGGCATCAACACAATACGGTTCAAAAAACATCCATAAATTCATACTATGTGAAAAATTTATCAAAATACTTCAAGTTCCAATCAAATTTTTCTTTGATTTCATGAAAATTATAAACTTTTTCTTTAATATATACCAAGAAACACTTTCTACAGAGACCAGTCTGACTAAATGGCTTCATCACATATGTGGTTGGACAAACATCCATAAATTCAAACTCGTATGATAAAGAACCCACTTTCTACTTTAACCAACTCGCCAAATGGCAACACCACAAATGTAGTTGGATAAACATCTATAACATAACATCAATTTATGATAAAATGTGCAAAGCATTCGAATCCAATCAATTTCTATTTCATAGTATCAGCAATATAATGAAAACAATCTTTAATAAATTGCCAAATGACAATACATGTACCAAATAAGTGGTTAGAAAACATTCATAAAAGCATGATATGCTAAATTGTGCCAAAGTTATTCAAATTCAAACCCAACTCAATATTATTTCAAACAGAAATATTAATTTTCATTTGACTATTTTTGTACTTCTCATTGTCTACTGAAATCAATCCCGCCAAAACCCAAACACCACAGATGCGTTATGATAAACATCCATAAAATATTTTATGCTAAGCTGGGTTAGAGTTGGAATTCCCCTCAAATTCTATTTTTGTTTTAAATTCAAAAATAACAGCTTTTAAATAGCTACAGTATTATAAAAATCACTTTCCACTGAAAACTAATTTCAATAAAAGTAAATACTCCAAAAATTGTTGCCAATTAATAAACATTCATTAAATCATTTCATTATAAAATGAAATATATCAACGTTATCAAAATTCAAATCTTCCAAACACTACCAAACACAAAAATTGTGCAAAACAGCTCATGAAATTAATATTCAGAAAAAATTTAATTCAATTTTGGTGAATTATTTTTAAAATTAGAATTCATTGACAAAATTTCCTTTTTACTCGAAAATCAAAACCGACAAAAATTCGGTTTCCGTTATCAAAACTTTTTAGAATTGAAACTAAATACTTAGATCTCTTTTTCTAGATAACTCAATCAAGCCAATTAACAACACTTCAAATACTGCAGAATTATCATTCCTATAAATATTTTATACCTTCTTGATCTTTTTTTTTTTTTTTTTTTTTTTTTTTTAAATTAATACTCAATTGATAAATTTCAATTCTAAGTAGATAATTCAAATGAGACCTTAGTTTAACTACAATGAAAATCAAAATGCAAATATTCTAAACCTTTAATTCTCTTTCGCAAAGCCGTACCTGTCCTGCATTAATCATAAGACAAGTAGAACTCGTTTTTCTTCTATAAAATGTATGTGTCATTAATACATATACTTGGTTAATAGATACCAAACAAAAATTATCTATGCCCCATACTCTACTATACGGATTCATGATTGAATGATCTACTAAAATAAATCGAAAAACGAATTACTATACTCAAAGATCAGAATATGAAATGCTTCTCTTTTCCATTGTGATGGAGTCCGCATTAAATTTAACTTTCAATTGGCATAAAACGCAAAGAAAAAATCTACCGTACTTCTCTGGAGATCTTAAAATCACCTTCTTCATTATGCTCATCGTGATACCAACCCCAACATGTAACCACCTGAAACATAAGAATATACTGTTTTCTCTTCAACATATCTAAAACTTTTCATTTTAGTAGCACATTTGACAAAATGGCAAGAAACTGAAATTGAAAAATAAATTCAAACAATTTTAATTTATCGATATTTTCTATACTCAGGAAATGTCCATGTTATAATGCTGATGCATTTAGTACGTTTTAAAATGATAAGCAAATATATTTAATTGGATATAAGTGCAAATATAATATCTTATAAATTCTATACTTGTATTAATTGAAAAATAAAAATAAATTAACGTAACGTATTTGTTTTGCTTTTCAGAAACACCAGTTTTCTTCCTTTAACAAATCCATCTTTCTACAAAACAAATTATCTATTTCTGGAAATAACTTCTATTATCATATACTGACTAGAATTAACGAATCTCATAATTTAATACAATCATGTATTTGTTTTCAAATTCTCTCTATTACAAACCTTGTTATCAATAATTTATCACTTATTCAAAAACTGATCAATTGTATTCTCAAATGAATACTTATCTTATAAAAACAAGATCTAAGATGGCTTTTCTTTGATGACCTCGTTTTCCACACTGTCAAATCTATCTCCAGCTCTATTTTCTGTGATTTCATATCATCTACAATGGCTAAACATGTCGATGAACCACGCCCTACGCCACTTCGTTCTGAGTCTGAGATTTAAACTTTATCGTGCTCTACGTGTCGTCCTAAACTGGTATTTAAACCACTATTCACCTCTTATATAGCCTTGCTAACGAGACCAGTTCTAAAGAACCACGTGATATACACCAGGTATTCGAATGAAAACCTTGTAATTCCGAAAAAGTAATTCATTATCACACCAAGTAGAAATTGATTTCTGTCTAATTCGTTCCTCAAACGAAAGAAATCATATAATTCTTTTGCCCATTGACTATAGCTTTGTAAGCTTGCTTATTCAAAGTTTACTCCGGTTCAAGTCATGTAGAAATCAAATTTAATACAATTGATAATCTAGCATTGTAGACCCCACTGACATATCCATGTAAACACAATAATTAGCGCTATAATTTACGTCTAAGATTGAAAATACGATAATCAATAAATGGATCAAATTTACTGTACAACATGTAGAAAAGATTCATCTGTACGGTAGATTATAAAAGTTTTCATGATAAAAATAGGCATATTGTTAATTTAAGCACTTATTTGTAAAAAAAAAAATGAACTAATATTTCTTATTGAGGTTTGTATAGGTATCTGTCATGGCCAAAGATTCCTGTTAATTATGTTCACTTTTGGCAAAGATATAATCAAATTAAATTTTCTTTTAAATGCGAAATAAGTTATACTTACAAATATTGGCTTTTTAAAATATTGATCTGGTTGTAAATCACACTGAGTTTTAAAATGTTATGATTAAATGATGTTAAAAATATGGCTTTATAGTCTACCTACATATATTCTGAGTGCAATGTGTGACTTTATATGATTCAAAAGTTAAAAATAAAGTGTCAAAATGACAACCAAAAAAGGCAGACAAGTACAGAACAAGCAATTTGACATGATTGTGTCAAAATGACAAAAAATATAAAATGTTACACATTATGGAAGTCAGCATCAGTATACATCATTATCGGCCGCAGAAGTGGCCGATCTAATTGTAGTTGTGTTAGAATGTGCACGTAGGAAAACGAGACATTATTTTTTCATTGTTTCGATGCAATAATTCTTCATTTATAACAAGTGTAAAAGTTGTTATAACATTTAATTCATCTTTCATTTTAAAAAAGATATTCATTGATTAATGAAATTATGAAAAGTTGTTACACGAACTGCAAACCAAGATGGGTGTTCATAAAACATAGAAACGAGACGTACATGTATTGAGTTTCCCGATATGAATTACTGAGTCATAGATTTCTAATTAATTGTAAAAGTTTTTGATAGGACGGAATTTTGTGTTGAATATACTACAGTTTTAAATGACACAATGATTTTTTTTTTCACTTCATTGAACACATTCCAAAATCAAAACAGATGTTTTTTCTGTATTAAGCAATTTGCTCTAAGGTATTGACAAAATAAAAAAACAGAATTTTGTAAGATATTTATTAGAAGAAATTCAGCATTTTTCCAGTAAAAAGACGATCAAACGTCAAAACAAAACTGATTTGAAAACATTTATAGGGAATATTAACAATACAATTTTACATAAAACAATATCAAGACTTTACGGGAAATTTTCCCTCAAAGACAATCACTCATACAGTATTTTTGACTTGCAACATCTTTAAGATAACAAAAATTTACAGGGCAAATTTCTTCTCAAAAATGACATTGATACAGTTTATACACAGTAATTCAAAGCTAATGCAACCACACTGATGATAGTGAGACTTTAAGGTAAATCCCACCCATAAAAAAATCACTGACATAATGTTAAAATCTTTAGAACCTACAGAGTAAATTTCCTCTCAAAACTGAATGACATTGATACGGATCATATACAGTATTTCAAAGCTAAAGCAATGATAGCAGGACTTTACGGGGTTAATTTCCCACCAAGAAAATCACTAATACAATACTTATGACCATAGCAACATTTTAAGATAGCAATAATCTACGGAGTAAATTTCCTCTGTAAATTGACATTGATATAATCACAACAATCATTTTTTAAAAATTAAAGTTGGCAAATTTAGTTTGATTCGTTACCTGCCAATAAAATAAAAAAGAATGATAAAGATTAATTTTTCTAAGATAGAAAAGACACTTGATCAACAGGCACTATCGTTATTTACGTCCTTGTTTCTCGGTGACCGTTCCCTCTTAAATGTATACACTTTCATGAAACGCGATTCTCTCTAGAGTTAAGTAAAGACCAAAACCCGTCTAATTTACCTGAATTTACAGCGTTTTCAATGCACATAATTCTGGAAATGTTTTAGACACAGGAAAAATCCTCATGTGATTATGCTTGTATATTTTTACAAGAGTTCAATATTTACTGCACATGATCAACGTCTCTTTTCTGTATTACAAATTGACATTAACTGTGCATATTTTATCTCTCTGAATCGTTTTGGGCATTGAAAAGTAAATACTCTCAATGCATTTTTTTTCTCTGCAGACCGTTCTCATTCGAAACCTTTTTCTTGGTCTACATTTCAGTTTTTATATGCGCAAAATGTTATATAGAATGTGTGGAAAAAGTAACCTCTACCATTTTAATGTCATTTTCAGCTCTTAATTGATTGGTCACTTCAGATAAAATTTTAGAAAAAATCTCATAGAACTTACTAAAAATGGTGTAAAGCCAAAATTTAAGGAAAATCATGTAATACCACAGGCCTGAATTAACTGGATTTTTGGATGATAATTGGACATATGTATCACAAGAATTGTCTCATTACACTTATATAAAAATACCGGATGTTGCGGCGACTGTAAATACCGTTGCTTTCAAGAAGATCAGCAATTCATTGGAAAATAAAACTTCTGATTTATAGCTTATTCTATATTAAGAAAATATGATGATAACTAAATATATTAAAATTCAATGATATACCTAAAGCGGTTAAAATTAACACTTAACAATCTTTTAATCCATTTTTATATCAGTATTTTTTCTGTTTCTAAATGTGGTGTTGCAATGAAAATGGTCTATTTTTGCTGCATAACGTTATACAATTTATACTCAGAAAAAAATATATAGAACTTTATAGTATGCACATGTATCTACAGCCAATTTGGCAGATTTTCCTGGATTTCGTAAACATTCACAATAAATAATATTTGTTGTCGGTATCAAATGATACGATTGCAATATGTTACCAAATTGTAAGACAGCACGCTAGGAATAAAATATATAAAAGCTGATATGAAAAAGAACGATTGCATCTTCAATTTCAATTGGCGTTAGAACAAACTTAGAGTATTCCTAACGAGAGGTAAGAAAACATTTTTTATTGGGATTAAATTAAGAAGAATCCGTTAAATTGTTTGATAAAAATCTTTTTATTACTTTGTATGGAGTATTGTATATTGTTTAACGTTCCTCCGACCCCAATTTTTCACTCATATGGAGGATGGAGTATATCAATGATTATGGCGCTACAGAGTGTAAATGTTAAAAGTTTTGGCGTTAACTTTCTAAAAAGTTAAATACCTATGAATATTAATTTTTATACATTTTGGAAAGAATTATTTTGAATCGGAAATCCTTTATTTTTAAATTTGGAAAATTGGTTTTTAAGAATACCCGAATAACATAAAAAAAATATATTAAAAAACTTGACGGAATTATAACGTTATAGCTATATAATTTTTCTGAATATTTTGTTATTCTGGAAACTTCGATACTTAAATATCTGACCGACAATTCACATGTTACACTCAAAATTTGTTTTCCATTGTTTATTTTTAACTTTATAGAATGCATTCCCTAATGTTGATTATGGGGTTAAGTTCACTTTTTGGCATCATTTACACTGACGAAGTGTCACCACGGCCCAGCCTTAAATCCTTCAGAGACGACTATGACAGTGTCGCTAAAACATGTGTGGCTGTTGGATATGTTAAAGACCATTGTAAAAACAACAGAGACAAAAGTAAGATACGATATCGGCTGTATCCTTTATATAATGGATATGCACAAAGCGCATGCTTTTTGTTTTCATATGTCCTTTTTTTGTTTTTAGAAAATACGGTAATATCATTCAATGCCAAGGCCAAAGGAAGTGTCCAGACAGTTAGTAAGGGAAACGCTGTGATGTTTGGAGATGTTGACCTGAATATAGGTAGAGGTTACAATGCGGTTAAGGGAATTTTCACCGCCCCGAAATCAGGAGTGTACGTCTTTGATTGAACAACAATGACGCACACTAACAAAGGTGCTTACACCTCACTGGTCTTGAATGGTAAAAGAAGGGTATATAACCATTGTCATAACAACAGCCATGGTATCCATATGTCATGCAGTAAAATGGCTGTCGTTAGAATGACGGCAGGTGATAAGGCTTGGATTGATGGCTTTTATGTAACATCATCTGTTTACAACACGTATTCTTCTTTTTCTGGTTACATGTTATAAATGCTCAAAAGAAATATGGAATTAAAAATTAAAATATAATTTAGTAACAGATTTGTTGTCTATCTGAGGTTCTGAAAAAGTATAATATGTGTATATGTTATATGCGAAAGTTTTACTCCTTAGCCATTGCACAAGGAAAGTATGCTGTCATATGTGATTTTGCAATGACAAAAAAGGCTAAAAAATGTCATCAAAAATGGTGAATAAGCTAGAACATTTTGAATTGTCCGGGGTAATCTTAGATATACCCTGGTGCACTATACATAGGAAGGTGAAAAAACTTTACGTTGTAAGAAAATTTATGGTAACATTTTTTGAATGAATACCAGGATGTTTAACATTTATCAAAGATTATTTTAAAATTATTATATGTGTTGGAAAACAATCTGCGAAACATTTGAGGTCGAGAAGAAACTACTGGTTTAATTATTATTCTTATGCTTAGAGTAAACAATCACTAACATTAACTTGATTATAAAGATTCTAATATTAGATTGGTCTACGCAAAGTAAGCTATGAAAATACATTAGTAATTGTAATCATGGTTAAGGTGTAACAGGGGAGAGGGACATAAATGTAACCGTATGAACACGAAATTGAAAATTAAGACAAAAATTAGACCTTTCTTTATTGATTTAGAAAAGAGAATGAAACATAGAATGAATCTTGTTGGAAACATAATGCTACGTCTTGTCAATTAAAGACATTAATATTGAAAAATATTTATGTTTATCCTGTTACCAAATTGTAAGTGCTATCTTAATGAAGAATATGGAAATAACGAACAGTATTCAACATCAAAGTCCATAAAATAATACAAAATAGGAGCAGAGCAAACACGAAACTTCAGAGATGGGATCAGGTGCCATGGAAAAGTGAACATCCCCTGCTGACCGGTCACACCCGCAGTGTGCTCCTAGTCATGAAGGGAAATAATGGAAAATTCTGTCGTCAATTAAATATATAAATAATGGACTAACAATTAGTATGAATAACGTCCGTCAGCCTTTTAATTAATGATAAATTGTATTTGATGACAAGGTCATTGTATCGACTATAGAGCTTACGAAATACTGACTTTTAAACAAGACTGCTGATGTTCTTGTTTCATCAACTTGCTTGTCAATAATTTACCTCTTTTTAGAAATTGTTCATACGTAGAGCGTGTTCTTGCGTAACGAATCAACTGAGCTAATGCACTTCACATGAAGGTGATGAAGGTATTTTGCTGCATAAGTAAAACAGTTCATAAACTTTATCCTGTTTTGCAAAGTTTAATATAAGGGCAGGCCTGCCCTAAAGGAAATCTACGCCAATATTTAGTGCTGTTTAAGATCC